TTTTTTTTTTGTTATATGATTGTTTACCAACAGATTATCCAAATTGCAGGTTGTTGTGAGGGATTTTTAGGCAATTGAGTTCAGTGAATCGAGTTGGGTTTGATGGAACCTATTTGTTCGGTTACATCGAACCCAAATCTGCTGGGTTTTGTCGAACTTCAATCTTAAAAATAGAAAGAATACTGTTTATGGAAAGAATAGAAACAGTAATCGATGGGCAAAGAAGCAATTCTCAGTGGTGATGTGGGATCCATTTGGATGGATTTGGTGTGTTTTCGCCGGAGTAGCATGTGACATGGCAAAAGTTTTATGCACATCATCACTTTTTTAAGTTTTGCTCTCCACAACATAAAAAAAAAAAATAAAAAATGCCACCTAAACAAGGTTAACAGCCCAAATTAACAGAAGGACTAACGGAGTGCATTTCGTATAGTTGAGGGATAAAAAAAGTGCAAAAAATTGTTGAGGGACCAAAAATGTGCATTTCATAAAATTAAGGGAGCAAATTAAGCATTTAACCTATTTATTTCAATAAAAATTTAAGAACTTAATTAAGAATTGAAGGTAAATTAAGGGGTTTAATATAAGATTTTATGTAATTTAAATTGTATCGAACTATACAATAATAACTATTAACTAAGGAATAAATCTTTTAATATTATAAACTTTCTTCTTATTCAATTATTTTTATCTTATAATTTAACATAATTTAAACCATAAAAACAAATAAATTTTAAATAAAATTCCTATGATTTATCGAAAGTAAAATTTACGTACCTTATTCTCCACACATAATTCGATATCTTAAAGTAATTTGCAATCAAGGCTTAAAAGTATATATGGAGGGACGCGAGCCACGTTAGAGGAATGGGGAAAGTTGTGCGTACCAGGATGTTGGCCATAAGTAGGGCATGGACCCTAATAATTTAAAGCTAAAGTATCTAAAGTTACAAAAAATAATTTGTAGCCTCTCAATGCATGCTTGAAACCTTAATCACATTATCAAAACGCTTTTACTAGGTTTTTTTGCATTTATTTGCTCACGCGGAGTCCACCTGTTGGTCTGTAGACCTATACAGGGGGCCCTTTTCCAATATTAAAGGTCATTCATCAAGATATTAATGTTAAAAAAGAAAAAAAAAATTACTAACAACTTGAATTTGATAACATATAAAATTTTAAAAATTACTCAATTACAAAGAAATAATATATGAATAATTTATTTATAAAATTTTTATTTATAATTTTTATGTATTATTAAATAAATAAATACATATAATATTAATAATTAAATACAATAAAAAAATTAACTATTAAATAATATATAAATTTATATAAAATAATTATACATATACAAAAATTATCTCTTAATTATTATTATTATTTTTATTTTGTAAGCCCAAAAGGACACCGTCTTAGAGAGGATCTACTAACAGAATGGCAGAATCTTCTTTCGATGGTTGCTAGCATTTCTTTATCCTTAATTATTTTTATGATTAATAATCTCCATAAAATTAAGTTATAGGTCGAATTAAAGTGCCCCCAACATTGCAAATGTCGAATCTTCCTTTTTCCTTTATCCAGCACAAGCCTCCAAAATTTTGTTGCATATAGATGATTATTCTGTTCAGAATAAGGGGTCAAATTAAATTTTCAATTCCGTACGTTTTTTTTTTTTAAAAATAAACTCATATAGTCATATCCATCTCCAAGCTAGTTGAGGCAAAAGAAACCTGCTCCGAGTGGACTTGAATTGTATTAATCAGTTAATTAATCAGGGATGCTGAGTAATTGTCTCTAATTACCAAATGGAAACTGCACCTTTGAAGGCTTGCATTGGTAACTTTCTTTAACAATTAATTAAAAAATACCATGTGCATTAATTAACATTAGTTCTAAAATCTAGCTAGACAGGCTATTAGTAAAATAATATTAGGTCGAATTCCAGTTCCACCTCCCACTGAAGATAGATAGATTGTCATTTTCATGTTACAGAGAAGATACAGATACACAGCCTATTGTATATACGGAAGATGCCCCATTTTTCAGGTGGATGATGACTCGATTGCTCAAGCAGTCAGGTCAGGGTACGGGTACGTATAAGCTTTTTTAACGTTATACGTTTTGATTTAATATATTATAGGATATATTCATTAAACATAAATAAAATAAATTATTTTCTTAAAATTTTTTTTAAAAAATTTATCTAAAAACCTACATTCCAATTAATACTTTTAAAAATTAATTATTGAATTAAAAGTTTTACTCATATATATATTCATATTAATTTACACATTGATCTAACACTTATAATTTTTTTATAAAAAAAATTATATTTATTTATATATTTAATGGTATTAAATTTTTATAGTCAAAAAATAGTTAGGTCTATTAAAATAATTTAAAAATTAATATACATAATCTATATATATATAAAACTTTACCTCCAACTGTTAGTTTTTAAAAATATTAATTAAAAAATAAATTTTTAAACATGTCATCCAAAAAATATTTAAAGAAACAACCAATAAAACACTTTTTCCTAAAATGAAACTATAACTAAGAATACTAATGGGCATAAATTGATTATAAGAATACTAATGGGACAAAAATAGAAAGCAAAATGATACGAGAAACCTGAAAATTAGAACATTCTAGTTTTTTAAATGTTAGAATTTCTTGTGATATTATTCAAATACCCTTAATAAATCAAATAAAATATCCTTAATAAATCTTCCTTGCATGTTGATTTACTAAGGATTTTTTAATCTTTTTATTATAAATCATAGTATTTTAATTGTACCCATGAGCGTGTGGATGAGTTGGCTGGGATTCTTCTAACTTAACCAGAGGTTTTGAGTTCAAGCCCTAGGAATGCAGTTCCGTTAAAACTCATGAGAGAGAACTTTGCCGCCTATTGGATCCTGCCCGGCTCGAATCCAGATTAGTCAATGGTCCAATGAGTTTCTGGATACTGGATGGTCATACAAAAAAAATAGTATTTTAATTGTTAGAACATTCTAATTTTTCACAATTCCAAATGATTGTAGTAAACTAACACTTTGTTAAAAAATAATATTGTATAATTTTGCATTCCATTAATCTCTATTTTTCCTCATCTTTCATATTGTATTTATTTAAACCATCTTTTTCATCATCACCAAAAGTAGTTATAATAATAAAAAAAATTAAAAATAATTAAAATGATATGAAATAAATAAGGGAAGAAATAATAAAAAAAAAATAGACCTAATTGAACCAAACTAATAATTTTACAAAAGTTTGGAGCCTGAGCCTTTAGCTCTGCCATTGAATTATGATATATTAGCTCTTTAATTTGATTTGGTGGATCTCAGTATTTTGTATATGTTACTCACCATTATATGGAGACTGTCTTTTAAAGTAGATAATAATTTTGCACCATAATTGACAAAAATAATTTTGTACCATAATTGACAAACTTTATATACATGGTTTCCTTCACAGTGATCGGATTTATTGGTTAAGGAACCAGCTGTGCTAAGTGTGTGTGTACATATATATATATATATATATATATAAATCATCAATTGATAATTTTTTCTTGAAAACCAGGTAACTGAAAATTATCCCTTTAATTTCAAACCAAACGGGTAATTAATTCAACACGAATAACCTGTTTTAAATTGATAGGATCTAAAAAATATGTTCGCACAAAGCAAACTAATAATACTACCAGATGGCATATCCTATGCCAAAAAGGCTATAAGGTATATGGAATTTCCATGCATCCATCAGTGACTTGATAAGCCCTCTCTTGAGAATCTTGTCTTGGTATCTATATATAAGCACCTCAAGACAAACCTCTTCCTCACATCTTCTCTTCTCTTACATCTGATCTCTCTCTAATTTGATCTTAATTGACACCTTCATCACTTCTATATCCCCTCATCGATCTCCAAGGGTTTGGATATATCCATGGCTTACCTTTCCTCTAACCCTCAACCTCAATATCTTTCTTCTTTGGAGGGTTTCCTTCCTTTTTTTTCTGTTTCAAAAACTTTCACTTTCTCCTTGGCCCTTTTCAATCCGTTTGTTTTTGAGATGGCTGTGGGAAACCAAGAAAATACACTGAGTGTTGCTCTTATTTCCTTCTGCTACCCTTTTTTTCTCAGTTAATTTGTGCAGTGACTCATGATCCAGAGTTTTTTCATCATGATGATGATTGTTGATTGGTCAGTCATAGTTTGCAGACGCAGCATCCTCGGGATTCTCATGCAAATGCCAGGTTACAGCTGCAGCTATCTATATGTATATGAGAATCTTGATGATGCTGCATCGGCGAATACATGACTTTGTGATCATCAACACTTCCCTTTCCGGACTGGTTCTAAAGAACTGGGCTAGCTATATGAAGCTTTTTCAGTCCCTCCCAACCTCTCCCTCTCTTTCATTTGTTCCACTGTGTTTATTTACATTATTTGATCTTTTATTTAATTAATTAGTTTTGCAGAAAAATTAACTGGAGAAGCACATAATCATGGGATTCGGAGAAATTAATTAGGTGAATGAAAATCCTTGTACTTTGTTCCATCTCTAAACACTTTGTATATACTAGGGTTTTGTTTGCCCATATAATTAACTGAGTCTATACAAAGAGTAATTGTTCTCAACTAGCTCAATTTTGCTTTGCTTAGGAATCCTACCTTCTACGTTTTTTTCTTTAAGCTTCCTTTTTTTTTGGTAAGGGCTATCACTTGAAATAGTATTTGAATGTAAATCATTCTAATTGTATGATCTTTTTGTATCAATTGCTATCAGAGCCATCCACATAGCCAGTGGGGAAACTGAGGCTAGTTCACAGTTAACCACGACGGCGCCGGACTACTGATCACACTTCAAATTGCAAGGTATGTATGAGACTTAATCGATCTCACATCATAAAGTACAAGATTAATTTTGATATGGGGTTTACATGGCTTAATTTAGAGTCTCTACCCATCTCAACAATTAGTTTTAAAGTGTACATGATTCTCCCAAGGTTCATAATTTTCCAGTCTCATAAAATTTTTCTTTCTGCATATATATTCTTAACTTCGCCTAGCTAGTAATATATACTATATAGTCCGATTTTGTAAAAGAATCTATTTTAAAGCAATGTTGATTTGGATTTCTTCCTCTTTCTTTGACATTATAATTAAGTCTCTTGTTTTTGTATATATGTTTGTGAAACGAAAATATATTCTGACTAGGAGAGGTTAATTAGGTGGGGATTCTTGGATCAAGAATATAAAATCTCTAGTTCCAAAATGCATCAATATATATGGAGAGTGTGGAATAGAAATATATATGAAATAACAAGGATTTGTTATCTTTAATTAGGGACAAACTTTTCACATGCTCAACACACAAGAAACAAAAAAAAAAAAACACAGCCTGGGAGGGGGTGTGGGATTGCAGTAAAGGAGGGAATTATTAATTTGCTTGGGAAGTACGTTGCTGTTTTGCAGGAACAAATTGCAGTGATGGGAAGGACTTAATTATCCTTTGTTTCACCCATCAATCATCAACTGTACCAGAAAAATTAAGATAAGAAGCGTGAGACTCAGACAAGGAATGAATGATATATGGAAAGAAGAAAGCAATATGGTAGGTACTCAGTTAAATTGGCATATATACAATAATATTATATATATATATATACATATATTATATGCTCGGAGCAGAACAAACAAGAAAAGGAAAAATTAATTCTACTAGCAGATCTCTGGAACAGAGATCTGCCTAAAAAGGTTGCTGCATTTGCGTGGAAAACATTACAAAACCATATCCCAACCAATTAGGTGAACTTTTAATTGAGGAAAAAAGACTCGGAACACTGGCTATTTTTCATGTTACCATATATTTATATTCTCTCGGATTATTTGGACCATTACTTGCAATGATTGGTGGGGGATCAAATCGGTTTCACAGCTTGGACTTGGGAGGAAAGGAACATCTGCTGTAGCACATTGGAATGTTTCCTGTAAATTTAAAGAAGCCAAAAGGATTGTAATGTGTTTTACAGTGCTGTGTTCAATATATGGCCGTTATGGCTGACATCAAAAAATTTTCAACGGAAACGCTGATAATTAAGCAAAACAAGGCACTGGATCAGAATTGGTTAAACTCATATCATACTATATAATGGATTAATTAAAGCAAAAAATTGTGACGGTTTATCGTTGAGTCTGTGGTTAACTAACATTAGAAGGGCAAATAATATGTATTTTGACTGTTTGGGGTTGGTTTCTATTTGTAGTAGGGAAAAGTGATGAATCTGATAGAAGCTGGGATTGTGATGACTCGTAAGATGATTATGTTCTAACACAGAAAAAGTTACCAATATTTAATTCACTATCTCTTACGAGTTAGTCCGTACTAAGGGGACTAACTGCCTCAAATTTATTGGTATATATGCAGCACGGTCCTTACCGTTTATAACAAATTAAAGGCATGGCATATGAGTCTGAATGGTCCCCGTTTATGAAACCAATACCATAAACCACAGTCATCATTTCTGATCACTTCACATTAATGGTACCCTGCACGGCCAAGCTAGCGGCCGTCCTTCCCCCCGGCCCATACCCCACCGTCAGTGGAGGGGCCACCACCACCACCACCACCACCACCACTACTGAACGCTCCCAATGGCACCTCAAAGAGGAAAGCAAAAAAATAGCTAATTAAGTGGAGATGCAAATTGAAATGCAGTTTTTACCACCAAAAAAAAAAAAATTGAAATGCAGTTCATAATACTGTGACTCAATTGGCTGTACGGTTGTACCATGTCATTTCAGACCACAGAAGCTCTGCCACAACTTTTGGAAATGTTAAGCAAGATCTCATCATTGCCATTTTTTTTTAAATATTTTAAAATAAATGAGATAATACCTAAACTAAATTATATGTACAAAATAAAAATCTCATTTTGATCATTGTGAATGACCCACCATCGTCCTATGAGGCACAAAACTTTCATGTTAGGATCTCGACTTGGAATATATTGTGATGACTAAAATATATGAATGGGATTTTAACTAAGAAAAGGAAATGTTAATTACTTATCAGACAAATAGAAAATAAAAAGGACCATCATATTGTGTATACAATTGAGGTCTCCATCTTGCTATTGTATGAAATAAAAAAAAATCCCAATCCAGCAGGTAGTATTAATTTTTTTTTTTTTTGATGGTCAGTATTACTTTTTTTTAGTAGATTAAAAACTTCACTAAAATGTGTATTATGGTACCAAAAAGATTTGGGCTTGAAAACATTTTAAATTAAGAAGGTTCCAATTATTTGGGTCAAATTTAGCCCAAAATTTGACCCACTTAAACCCAATCAATATTTCAAATAGGCTCAAAAGTCAAAACTCAATAAGGTTGAGTTGGATCAAACCCAAAATTTATTTCTAGGGGCCCAGTTAAAAGAAGTAAATACTTTTCTTGCAACGAAAAAAGTTCAAAAACAAACTATCTTAAGAGACAGAATCGAACTGAATTTCTAAGCTCTGACAAGGCGCAGCGATTTCGGGGAATTTGGTTGGGAAACTTTTCCCTTAGGAGGGGTTGTTTGGTTTTAAATTTTTAAAAATTATTTTATTATAAGATTATTTATGTATTTTTAAATAATAATATCATAACAAAATAAAGATAAAAATAATATTTGTAACTTTTACTTTCTTGAATACGATTCTTAAATCATAAATTTTGTTTACGCACTTTTTTTTTAAAGTAAACGTTTCCTAAATTTTTTTATATAAGATTCATTTAATAATTTTTTAATAACTTTTTTCATATATTATTTTTTATTAAAAACAGAAAAGTTAATAACTCAAAAAAATTTTACTACAAAATTGTTGATCTTAATTTTGATGTGCTAAAATTTAATGAAAATATAAACTTATGTTTTGCACACTTCTCACCCAATTAATTAAATTTTTCATTTGAATTTTGATGATGAAAATTCAATTATAAATGTAAAAAAGTTGATTTTAAGGTTTGAAATTTAATTGTTTAAATTTTAGATTTCTTATTAATAAGGAAAGGCATAATTGTATTTTATTTTGGAATCATATTTTTAAATTAAATATATTTTCTAATCATTGAATGAATATGTTTCTTAAAAAATTGACTTTGCCTCTCGGAAACTTTACAAAATACAACATTGTGTATGAGGTGCGAAAACCAAACAAACAAGTCTATACCATTTTTTGCTATTCTTTTTGAAGAAGATGTGTTGTACGATGGTTCAGTTTTGTTCTTGCAATATTTCTATGAAAAGAATTCTCTCCTCTCTCTTTTATTTTGATCATGGAATCACTTATTATTTTGGTGCAGGATCATCACTGTCTGTGGTGTCGGTTACTGAAATTACAAGGCATTTTTTGTCCTTATATTTTATGCGCGCAACCATGGCAAGCTTCTACTCCACAGTATGTAGTTTTCCTTTGGTGGTTCACGGGATTTATCTTTGCTCCTTCCTTCCAATTGTGACCACTTTGCGTCAACTCTCAAGTTCTAACCTGAGCATGATATTAGCATTTCAAAAGAATGGTTACCGTGTACAACTCCCCTCCTAAATATTTCATGTAAGTAGCTGTTGCTTACGCATATGAAGCCCTACAGTTGAATTTGTGGTTTACATATCAATAATGAAGTTAAGCTAGAATTTTGGCCACGCTTGCCTTGACTGGAACTTGCTGTGAAGCCCCAAATGTTGGTTGTAAGTCATATATATGATCTTCAAAATATGACTAAAATCAACATATTAGTTTGAGAATATACTTCCATCTTAATTTATGTACATGCATTTCTGCTAGCAATCTTCTCGCTGATTGCTTCACCTGTGTTTAAGTTGTCAAGCTTCTCAAGCCATGTCTTCAATAAATAACTGACTTCAAGATTTTTTTTCTTCTTAACTTGCATTATCACAGTTTCTGCTATTTTTCTTTATCTTTTTCCCTTTTCATTCACTCCGATGTTGCAATATTTGAAGGTATATTAAGAAATATGTCCTATTCCGTAGATTCTTTGTGGAGCTATGATGGTTGCTTTATCTGTTGCGCTCGGGACTCTCTTGGGTTGGCATGTCTACCTAATTGCTCACAATATGACAACCATAGAGGTAAGTATGACGGGTTTCATGAAACTAGATTAACTGCTAAGATATTTTCAGCATGGTTATTTAAAATTAAAATTATTAACATAACCCCTTTGCCAGCATTATGAAGGAATATGAGCAGCAGGGTTGACTTGGAAATCAGGGCAGAACTATCAACATCCATTTGATCTTGGAGTTTACAAAAATATTACCTTCGCATTGTTGATTTAATTATCTTGATCCTTGATTTCTTATGTACTTTGTATACTTTAATATATTAGCAGTTTATTCCTCTACCTTTGATCAGGAATTGGGTCCAGACATGCTGAAATGGTTGTCTCCCTCATTACCTAGCCATCTAAAGGATGGAACTAGCTAGATTCCCCACCATACGTTATGGTTTGTAATACCCATGTGGCGTCAGTCTGGTCTAGGGATCAGTGACATTCCCACTTGTTACACAGAAAATGAGAGACTCCGGATGTTCATCTTATCATGTCATTCTCTAGGCAGAAAGAACCCTA